CCCCTGCTGGTATTTAATTAGCCGTGCACTCTTCATCATGATGGAGATGACGGCTGCAGTTGCCACTAGGTGAAAGAAGAGACTTCACCAGACCTTAATTGGTTCATTTGCCTCTGCTTGCCAGGCACAGATGGAGCACTTTATTACTGTCTCTGCCAGGTTCATTTTGGCCTGATGAGTGCTGTCTTAAGAGGCCGCCGGCCTCCACATCACTCGAGGACAAGGGACCGGAGCAGAATGATGATCAGGATGAAAGCGGCTCAGCATTCATCACGCCGCCTCGTCTTTTATGTCACAAATGTGTCAATAAAATCTTTACGGCCGAGTCGATTTGCATTCTTTACATGTTTTTCTTATCGAGTCTTTTTGTACTGGCTGTTGTGTAGTACTGCTACGCTACTGCAGTGATGCTGTGTACCCTGTACAGGTGCTTATTCATATGAATATGATGTTTGATGTCTTATGCAGTCGGCCAAGCCCCGGCATAATAAAGAACAACCAGGGCAAATCCCATGAATAGAAATCCAATAAATACACCCAGAAACAAATGCTTATCTGAGTTGTTTTTTTTTCTTATCTGACTTGAACCAAATCACAATGAGTTTTTTTTTTGTCAGTTGATAACAATATTGAATCATTTCCCCCTCAGATAAGCTGCGTCTTCTGACACGGCCTCCTATAAATCATGGGTGAAAGTAACTGCATCAATACGGCTGCTCGTTGCATCAGTGAATGGAAAGACGCAGCGCGCCCGTCAACACAGGTGGAGTCATTAGATTGAATCAGTCGGACGTCCGTGGATATCTGTGCATCTGTCAAAGTCACAAGACAGGAAATATGACAGGAAGGAAGGACCGTCGATGTGAAGTCAGTCGTCTCTGTGAGATCTGGACGTGCACGCGTAGAAACCATCCTTATTTGCACTACTGCTTACGAACACTGGAGGCTCCATCACTGTAATACACTGGTCCATCAGTCGAGTGCATCGGTGGATATTTATTACTTTAGAAAATACATTTGATCCTCTGACCTGCTTTAATATATAAATATACATTAGAAACATATAACTGCCAGTTTAAACTACGCCAAAAGTCTCACGTTCAGATTTCAGGTGAAGACATAAAAATCGAAGCTAAGCTAATTCCATTGTTCCTTTGCTTTACTGTTGTCATGCACAGTGTAACAGTGTTACATAATGAAATCCTTTGTTCTTGGTGTCAAATAGCAGCAAAAATGGTAAATGTTCAAATTAGTCTTAGGTCCAGACGGGTCTGTATGAAACAAAAAACAACAGAAAAAAAAAAGCTTAGTGATGACGGAGACCAAGCGACGGTGACCAACCTCAACAGCGCCATCTTGCTTATTTTATTTCTTTTATCGGTAGCTGTTTCCAGTGCAATTGGCTCTTAGTGTGAAAATAACTGAATATATATATATATATAAAGAGCACATGTATTTTGAAAGTGAACTAATCACAATTTGTTATGTTCCACCGCTCACCACAGTATAAATATACATGATACTTGTGATGTTAAACTTTTGTTCATTCAGACTTTTGTCTAATTTGAAGGTCATTTTTTTTATTATTCTTATTTGGAATTTTAGTTTCCCTTATGTTATTTTTTAGCTGCTGGGTACATGAGAGAACAGGACAAATAAAAAAAAGATTTCCACTGCACTGTTGAATCACTGTGTTTTTACTGCGTGTTTACTCCACCAAACATCTGAAGTCTGGAGTCTGGTGCTGAACCTGGACGTCTTTTACTTCTTGCGTGCCGTACGGTTTATGCTCGGCGTTAAATGGAGGGACATCAGTGCCTGGAAACCTCATTTACCATCTGCAGGCCTCATTCATAGTGAAAAATGACAGGCAGGGAGCGGTCGAGAAACGATTCCACACTCTCTCCGTCGCTCTGCCTCCAGACTCATTGTGTTCAGGAGGAGTAGAAAAAACAAAAGCAGCAGCAGCTGTCTTTGAAGTATTGTTTGAAGGTAGTGAGTGTAATTGGCTTCCATCATCACATTTAAATATATTGTTGAGAGGACTTTATGAGGACGTGTGAATGTGCTGCATTGTTTCCAGTTGGAAGAATTCACCTGTAATTTTTTTTGATTAAAACCTCATTAACACTTGTCATCGGCGCCATTAGTTAAAAAGAGGCTTTTTCCCCTCCCTCTCTTTATTCTTACCACACACACACAAAAGCATGTCATGCTGTGATGCCATTAGACGTACAACATGTAAATTTTGGCAGCCACAGGGGAACTATTATTAGATTTAAATTGGGTTAGTATTCAAGCGCAGGCTGTCATCAGGATCTGCATATGTCAAACACTCAGTGCCTTCAGGCAATAATATTGATAAGTAGTCTACGTCTACGTGTTCCCCATTCTAATATATGAAAATATACATATGTATATATTTTTTTTTATTAAAATGTAGAAATAGACTCTGGACATATTCTTTATTGCAGCATTTATATAAAAAAAGTATATGAATAGCAATGTCCAATAATATCGGCCGACCGATATTATCGGCCCGAAATTAGCATAATTATGTAATATTTATAAGAATCGTTATCGGTATTTCCTCCGATAATGAAAACCCGTCAAAGCAACGCCTGAGTTTCGCCAAATGATGTGTCCTAAAAATAGTTTGGGGATTAAGCGGCTGTATATTAAAGTGAAAGTCACTAGATGGCAGCATTGCGGCTTATTTAATTAATCTATTTTAATAATCAGGTGATTGTATGCAGAATGCTGGTGCCAACAACTTATGTGGTTTGTACAGATAAATAAATAAATGTTACCTGAACTATATATGTATCGGTTGATATCGGAATCGGAAATTAAATATTTGGACAACATCCGCGAAAAGCTAATCCCTATATATGAATATTCCCAGGACTAGCACCTCACCTGTTATTTTATTAAATTGCAGCTCTGTTGGTTTTGGGTTGACACATTTACTAAAACACATTTAGTCATGTTGACTTGTGGCAGCACCGCCACGGCTAATTATATTAATGATGGCTTCATTCCATTAAGAGTCACGTGGAGCCATGCCAATGAACACAATACCACAACTCAAACAGGACGACACTGTTGGCACAGAGATTAATTACGCCTGTGCCTTTCATCCTGTGACAGATCGTCGACTGTGAAAATGGCACCTTAAATTAATTCCAGCAACAGATCGTGACAGGCTCTCATCCTGAGATTTCTTACCGCCGGAACAGGATTTATGGTCACGTCTCTCCGAAATATCAATAAGGCGTTCTGTACAGGGAGCATTTACATTCAGAACCGAATCCTGAGCTCTGCCGTGATAATGCCTGCGGGCCACGTGAACCTCTTCTGATAGAAACATTTGTACTCTTCAGTTTATTCTACACGGGATTGACATTTACGCTGATGACAGCGGAAGAAACTGATAAGATTTATTGGCTAACAAGAATGCTAAGTCGCTAACTGCTAGTTAAGCAGTGCCCTAATGAGATGAGTGATGGCGTGTCACCAGGTGTTGCATTAGAAAACCATGTAATAAGACGTCTTTAATGATGATGTGTTATAATAATAGACTTCATTAGAAATCAACAAACCACAAAGTGCAAATAAAATAAATGTCAACATGCAGTTAAAAGCTATAAAACATTGACTAAAGGTTAGGAGGGAATTAAAAAAGACAAAACTCTAAAAAAAAACTGAAGGAACTCTTAAAAGAAACTAGTTTTTGCCCGTATTTTGCCATTACCTTGGTACCATTGAGCAAGTACGTTTTATTTACAGTTGCAGCCATGTTGGATTAGCACGTCTCAGATCAGAGCAGGGGATGCCAAGATAATTTTCAACGTGGGGAGGGGGGGAACACATCATCAATACAGTTCCCCATAACATATTAAAACATGTTTCTGAAATGTATTATAATTTATTCAAATTAAAAATATTAAACAAAAAAAACAGAATTTAAGAAACTCATGAACCTCATTATAAGGCGGTTATAAACACTGTTTTAACTCCGGCGGACCACACAAAATGACC